GTTGAAAGAATTCTACACATAATTGTTGCAACGGCAATCTTGCATAATATTGCAATCAGTCAGAATGATCCTGTACCTGATGAAGAAGAAATTAATTTAGATATTCATAATGATGATGAAGTCATAATTAATGGCAATGATAATGGCAATGAAAATGGCAATGATAATGGCAATAATGTTAGAACAGATTTAATAAACAGCTATTTTGGCATTTTTTAATAAAGTATATTTTAATAAACTTTTTATTGGGTAAAAAAATAAAATGCCTTTTAAACCCAAATACTACTACTTTATTAAATACATTTTCAATTTAATAATTGCTTTTTCAAAAGTTCATTTTGTAAACGGAGTTGTTCAGTACGCAAATCATGCTCTGTTTCATTTTGTTTTATTTTTTGTAAATGTTCCTCTCTCTTAAACTGCATTTCTTCACGCAGAGCTTCTGCTTGAATATTTACTAATTCTAATTTAGCCTGAGAGAGAACATTTATTTTCAACCTGCAGTCTTGCGTAGGCTGGTTTTTTTTCTAATTATTTTTGTTCGACACTCTAAAAAAAAGAATATGAAATAAAAAGTACAGTATCTAACAGGGTCCGAAAAATAAAGAAAATGAACATAATAGGTATTAACTTGGTAATGTATGTGTTTTTTTAGGACAGGAAATTGAAAATTCTTTTTTTTCTTCTTCAACCTCCACTTCTTCAACTTCCACTAATTCATTATTTCTTTCTTGCTCAGTCTCTTCCAGTACTTCAATGGTCGGTTGCTTTCTAACTGACAAATTATCGGGTCGGTGGTGTATCGGTCTAAGGCGCTTATATTCATTTATAAGCAAGTTTATGTGTCAGAGACTGCTGGGCTTCCAATCCCAGACCAGACCATGAATCTTTCTTGTCAGAACATTTACCTTCAAGACTCATCTGCTGATTTTGCATCTTTTTCCAGTTAATTCACCTATTTGATTTTTACACATAACAAATTGTTAAATCAGCAAAATGAACAGATTTTATTATTGTTTAACATGAAAGGAAATATCTTATAAAAACTAAAAAATTATTTACATTAATTTGCTTGAGAATAAAAGTATTTTATTACAAAATTATTATATTACTGAAATTTGAAATAGAGGTAAATGTCCTATGTTAGGTGAATTTATTAAATAATGTGAATTTATAAAATTTGGAAAATATTTATTATTTGGAATTTGTGACACGCCCCCCGCGTGATAAAGCCGGTCCCTGGCTTTTAATAAAAAAAAAATTAAGATGCACACGAAAAATTAAAAATGCACAATTTTGCAATAAGAAAACTATTTCTAATGCATATCTGCTTAAGCGTGAATATTATTATAATAAACAATTAAAATTTCAAAATGTTATACTTATATAAATCTAAAAAAAATATATAAAAATTATGAATACTTATAATTATACGTCCTAAAAAAAAAATGTTACAATTTTTTAAACAGAGTACTCGCACACACGCACTTTTTGTGTTTATATTTTGGCACTTTATTGATCTGTTCGTTATTTGGGCTACCGTACACCTTTGCTAAGTCCAACTCTGTTTGGCCAAAATTTGACCGGTACGCTGGGTTGCATAAGTACTAGGCTGTGGTTACGGCCTAGAGAAGATTGTCCACTGTCTTTTCAGCGGCGCAGCGAACGTGGTATCGGCCTCACTACACATGCGGATGCATATGTCCTCTTTTTTCCATCCAGGGACTCGTACTTGTATATAGTTTAGCTATACTAGCTAAGTGGCTGTTGTCTACTCCTATCCATCTTTATGTTTCAGTCAGATACCTTGCGTTTGGTCTCTCTCTGACTATTCTTCTTTGGGATTGTTTATTTTGGTAGGATATGGTAATATAACTATTACGGATTACGGGTTAAAACTATAAACGTGTGATTTATGGAATGTCTGGATACTTTAAAACGAGTAGGCCAGAAAAAGGAACAAGAGGAAGGAAGAGTACATCGTCTGCAGACTTCAAAAGTAATTTTTTGTAAATATTTTAGGAATGAGAAATCATTCAACTAGTGGTTTTTGGCTTTTATATTATTTGGAATTTGTGACGTGATCCATCTAAGTTTTTTTGGATGGACTTCTGTGATACTGCTCTATTCCATACCAGTGTACCGACAGAGTTGCAAACTCAGCTAATTTCAGTTTGGCTTTGGTCCTTTGGCGTCTTTTTTGAAGAAACAGGATTTTGGTGTAACCTGTGGTGTGGTGTAACTGTCAAGGAACCTCGTACATCTTATTCCTTGTTGGATAGTAATTTTGTAAATTTGGTAGCTGGATTTGGTCATCAGTCCATTGGTAGTGCTTTTTCGTGCGTGTGGTTGCGGATTGGTGCCGTATTTTTGTCATCATAAAACAAAAAAAAACAAATCGGTAAGTAAATGGTTTGGATTTTAATATACTTATTTCCAATATTTTACAATAAGAACCAATTTATGTTCATTTATAACTAACCTAAAGCCCCACTTCTATTTGAACTTAAATTTATAATAGACAATTTAACTATGAAGATGATTAATTTAATCACCATTTTTAATTTTCAATCCTTAGTCTTTTAAGAAGAAAAAAAAATTATGTATGTCCCTGATTCTGCATTTATATATATTATAACTAAAAGTAGGTATCTTATGATTCCTATTAAAAAAAAAAAAAAAATAAAAAGGTTACAATTTTAAAAATTGATTACTTTGAGGAAAAGTATAATTTAAGGACCTATACTAATACTATACTGTTGAGATTCAAATATATTTTACTTTATTGTATGTGGATATTTTCATTGGGCTATTATCTTTAAACATTACTCACTAATATTTTGCATACATGTATTATATATCCCATTCTTCCAACCCTTTCTTTCTCTATAGAATAATACATTTTTTATTTATATTTATATTCATAACCTATTTCCTTTCTTTTTCTTCTTTGGAAATAATATTTTTCACCTAACTAAATATACCGCTTATGGTATTTTGACTTTATATTTAATGTATCCACATACAAATTATTTTATTGTAACTTAAATTAAAACTGAAAATAAAAAAAAAAACAAATTAATAGCAAATTTTCATACATCTTCTTCTCCTACTGCTTTTAATACACAGGGCAGGCTTTGCCCTTTTGTATTTGAATCAAGTTTATCCTCATTAACTTGACATATTAGGCGTATTGGTCCATCGTTTTGAAATGCTTCTCGTTTTTCAGGGATCATTCGAAATGGGACTTCCTGTTGTGACTGCTGTGGTCGACGTTTGGAGAGCCAGTTTAATATTATTTTTATAATGAGATAGCTCAAGAAAATTATAAATATTATACAAAGAAGTGAAAATTCTATATGATGACTCAAGGGTGTTGGATTAATTGCTTGAACCGGTATAGGGGTCATGGCTATTGCTAAGCCGTTATTTCTATGAAAAAGAAGGAAGAGAAAACCGGCAGATAATATGGTGTTCCATATTAGGAAAATGCTGTCTCCATGCAAGCTATAATAATGAGACATAGGTAAGTCGTTGTCAATTATATTAGACAGTATGTCTTGGACACTTTCTTTAGTAGACGTTAGATTAAGATGAGGAATTTCTAGTGTCCAGTTCGGGTTTAAGCATTCTAAATGATTCATGAAAGTTATAGGGCTTGATTTTATATTGGGATTAAGGATAAATGATTTGAGGTTTGAAAAGACTGCAGGGATTATGTGGGTAATTTCATATGAATTATTCTGATTTATAAAACACGGAAATCTGAAAGGTATTATATCTTCATTGTTAATTTTTAATTTGCAGTTGCAAGGTATTTTTACTCGTACTGCACCAGGACTTGAGTATAGTTCTGCTGAAAATGTTACTGTTTGTCCGTTTAGGCAGTCCAGTTTTGTTAAATGTTTTGGCTGTGTGATTATGTAAATATCTTCTTCAATTTCTGAAATTATTGTTGTTATTGATTTGTAGCAACTCATTGGACAATGAACGCTAATTTCTTGCACCGTGGCACCATTAAATAGTTTCTTTGCACAGGCCGCCCCCTGTAGGGCGTCTGCATTGAATCTTGGCAAAAAGCATAATTTGTCTCATTTTCTGGCTTGTCTTTATATAAAGTGAACCATATATTTGCTGCCCCCTCCAAGAACGATCCTAGATAACTAATTTTTAAACTGTTGTCCCATCCATTTGCTATGGCTGTTCTTTCGTAAATTGCTATAAAAGAAGTGACATTACCAGTGCAGGGGTTAAAAATGGACGGAGAAATAAATTGTGGAGTAGCTGATTTATGATGGTTGCTAAAGGCCTCTACAAGAGTTGTGTTAGCCATATTTTGTCTATTGTTTTTTGGAGTCGAATTTGTGATATCTGTACTCGCTTGTATCTCAACTTGGGGACTAGTAGCTGTGTTGCCAGTTTCGTCCTTGACTGCAGGTGGCTTATTATCCACCCTATTATTTTCTGAGGACTTTTTCTCATATGCAGTGGAATTCTGTGACAAATCTAAGCTCTGATCGCTTGTCTGTGCTTCCTCCAATGTAAAGGACCCTTCTCCTGTAGGAGATCTTGGAGTTTTTCCAGACCTATGGAATCCTGCTCCAGGAAGCTCTGTACTGTTGAGCTGTGGTTTAAAATTTTCCTTTACTTGAAGCTCTACTAATAGCTTTTTAGATTTATCCCTTGTGAGTGGCATTAACTATTTTTATTTATTATTTACTGATTATGTTTTTCTTTCCTTTGCAGGGTTTAAGCTATTTTTTGCTCAGTAACTGCGTGGGAGAAAATACAGTGCATCTATTCATGGAAAACAAATGTAGTATTTGTGCGGGGTGGATAACAGTGAGATCAGAACCATACAATTAGTGAATTGTGTAAAAATAATAGTGTTAAGTGACAGTGTAAAAATAAACAGTGTGATAAAAATATATTTGTCAGGGATAAGTGTATGAAAATGGATATGTAAGGTAGGAAATCAAAATACATTTGAATAAAAATACTCAGAAAAAAATACAGATAAGATCGTTTCTACGGCCGATTCGAAAAACTTCAGCTTCACTATCAATTTTTTCGCGTTTAATTTCAACATGCGCTCGTTCTCCCTCGCACTCACTGACTCCCAGGACCGATGCTTCCTCTACTTGTGCTTTTTCTACGACTTCATTAAATTTTGTAGTCACCTTCACTTCACTAAACAATTGTTTTCTTATTTTTCCTGGATTAAACTTAGTTGTACATAAATCGACCAATTTGCTGTCTAATTGATCTCCAAACTGACAATGAAGTGCTAAACTTTTCAGTTTAACGCTCCATTCTTGAACAGACTCGTTTTCTTGTTTAATAGCACTATAAAACTTATGTCTCTCGACCCATACAATTTTTGATTTGTCGTAATAGTCAGATAGAGCTTGAACAATATTACCAAATGCTGTTGTTTCTGGAGTCTTTGGCATACATAAATTCCTTAGTAAAACATAGGCCTCTTCACACAAATTGTATAATAAATTTGCTCTCTGGATACCTGCATCTTCGATTGCATTTGCAATAAAGTACTGCTTTAATCTTTTTATATACACTCCCCATTCGTTTACTTTAGGGTCAAAGATGAATTGATTACCTGAAGCGGCCATATTGACGTAGGTTTTTCACTATTTTTTTTATGTGCACACGCGAGTTCTACCACTACTTATCGTCGCCAAGTGTGATGTTCGTCCCTATCTACTAGGCATCGAAATAAAACTTCGTTTAACTCCAATAATTACTGTATTTATTGTAAATGCCGGAAGCCGAACTACCCAACATAACCTCAATTACAATAGTGACCTTCTCGATATGTGTGGTAAATCGAAACTGGGTCATTGGGTCGTTGGCGTACACCTGCCAATTCAAACCGGTAGCGGAAGAGGGGGTAATGTTTGGGTTGATATACAAGGCCCTTTCGGTTGAATACATTACAAGTTTAAATAACACATAAGTGCTACCTACATTGTGTTACCTACATTAAGTATGTTACCTTTACCTAAATTATGTAGGATACATATAAGTAACAGGGTAACAGTATGTATATTTTTTAATAAAGCGAAATAAATTGCCTTAATACCTTTATTAATTTATGCAGACCAAATGCAAATATAAATAATTATTAATTACAAATGTCATATTTTTGAAAGAAAATTAATTTGGAGCAAAAAAATTGCATAACGTAACTACATTGCAGAACTGACGGAACATTCAGTAACTTTTAAGATTAATTATCACTATTTATTATCATTATCAGTGCCAATTCCTGTCAATGTTGCCATATTGCTATTTTATTCATACATTTTCGGTATCAAAGATCGATAGAGAGTAATAAGACATAATATTATTATATGTATGTGTATGCAAAAGAAAATCATAACAGCATATAATAGTGAACATCTTGTCGACCTTTTGACAAGATCAATGAGATTCTTATCGTGTCAACGTCAGCTTTTAATATAATATCACTATCGCTACATTCAGAATACAGACATGACAAATGGCAACACTGTAGACTGCAAATCGAATAATGGCCGCCTGGAACGTAACAAATATACCTATATATTTTCTCAGTTTTTTAGCTTACAAATGTACACACACCGGCATATTTAAAGGAACAGATATAAAATCTAATTATTTACTCTATAATATACATATAGGTAGGTATTGTTAATGTTTCTCACATAATTTCTTAACACGAAGTTAGGTGAAGTATTTGGAATATTTTTTACAAAAATAAGTAAAAAATACCGGCCGTAGCCATAGTTTATTGTATCACGGTCCACGGGTTATTATTTTATTACTATTGACGTGCCTTCAAATTTCAGTTAGGCGTCACGGCAGTATGTCCCTGTGTCACAGTTTCATCCATTACGTCACTAGCGTGCCTATATAAATTGCAGGCACTATAACGTGCACCTAGTCACTTCGTATTTTAAAAGTTAGTTCAAAGGTTATGTTAACTGTTGTTTAAACAATGTTTAAATAAATATGTTCATGTTCGGTGTACAAAATAGTATATTTTCTAGGGTTTTATTTTAAATATAATTGACATTGGCAATACGAGTTTAGTTAAGGAGTAAGATCACAAATCATCCTCAAATAGTATGTAGTATTGGATAAATAGCCTTATGAACTCGCTCTCAAAATAAATCCCTGAGGTAAATTCAATTCTAAAAAAAAAAAAAAAAAATTAATTATTAAAGTTCAGTCTCATGTTCAATGAAAGGTATTAATTAGAACTTAATATAAAACAAGTAAGTATAATACTTTTATTTATTGATTCATACTATGAAATATGTTAATAGGTATAATTTTATAATATAAAATTAAGCTAGCCAGGTAATATAAAATAAACAAATAAAAAATAATGATTGTATTCAAAATAGAAAATTACATCTCAATATATATAGTATGGAAGACATCATAAATGCTGTTGTTCTTAAAGAGGATGATGATCCAGAGGATGACGATGTAGATGATGTTCTAGTTCTCGATATTTTAAACGATAATATACTCGGTAACAGAGCAGAGATTTATGGACGTTTTAGCCTGGATGAAATATCCAATGTTGAGCCAAAATCCAATTTTCGTTTTGAAAAAGATGATATTCCCAGGCTATCTAATGCTCTAGGCATACCGGAGTTTATCATGACCCAGGAAAACATACAACTAAGTGGTAAATATTATACTTTTTAATTGATATTAAAGTAAATTGCAATTTCAGTAATACGTTCTTTTAAATTATAAGGTGTTAGGGGGCTTTGCATTCTTCTACGAAGGTTAGCATACCCAAACAGGCTTGTTGATTTGGAACCCACGTTTGGATACTCAAGCAGTGCTCTTTCCAGCATATGTTCTAGGATAATGGATATTATCAGCGAAAACAAGGGCCACTTACTGAAAAATCTTGGAAACATACCATGGTTAAATGAAGCAAAGTTACAACACTATTCACAAGTAAGTCAATCAACATCTACCATAAAACTTATATTACTCGATTAAACAAATGGGAATTTTGATTTAATATTCATATTGATGTCTATGATAACCAGGTATAACTAGGGAGTTTGTTTAAAATATCTTATTACCTATATATTTTTCAAGTTGCTATTACATTATTCCAACATGTTAGAATCGTTAAGAACTTTTTTGACGTTTAGAAATTTCTTTTGTATTAGTAATAAGCATAATTAATTGAATTATAGTAAAAAAAATATTATTTTTAGGATATTGCACAAAAAGGGGCTCCTATGGAAAATATTTGGGCTTTTATTGATGGAACTGTCCGGACAATATGTAGACCATCAGTACAGCAACAACAATACTATTCAGGATATAAAAAAGTACATTGTTTGAAACATCAATCACTTTTATGCCCTGATGGTATAATTATCAATTTAAAAGGTGCTTACCCTGGACACCGCCATGATGTTGGAATGTTCCGTGAATCCAGGTTGTATGAAGAGCTGGAAGAGTTTACTGTGTTCGGGGGTAGAAGGTTCTTTATCTATGGAGACCAAGTGTACAGTTTAAGGGAGCTACTCATTACACCCTTTATCCTGCACCAAATAGCAGGATACCCTGAGCGACAGCATTTTAATAAAGTTATGAGCAGTTTAAGGGTTTCTGTTGAATGGGGGTTTGGAAAAATATTACAGGAGTTTGCTTTTTTAGATTTAAAAAAAAATCAGAAGCTTTTACTCCAGGAACTGAGTACAATGTATCACGTAGCAGTGCTTCTTTTAAATTGCCATACTTGCCGTTATGGAAGCCAGCAATCAACATATTTTAATATTGTTCCTCCGTAATTAGAACAATACTTAATAATTAATAATAATTAATAATTAATTATATAATTGATTTTAATTTTATAAAAATGTTCTAAAAGTTTGTTCTTTTCCAAAATAAATTGTAAATCTTTTGTTATTATTTATTTCTACTTTTTTAGATATGGTCTAATTACAATAACAGTTGAAGTTTCTTTTAATTTAGAAGCAAAATAAAAACTACCAAAATTACTGATAAAAAAATATGTTTAACATAAAGTTAAATAAATTCAAAAACTTTTGAACAACAAACATCTAACTATTAAAGAGGATAAATCTGTTTCTTGTTAGTAAGCTTAAAATATATAATCTTTTAACAATTTTGCAAATATTATTTTTACGAGCTGCTGTTGGTTATTGAAAGTTTCAACTAATAATTCCATTCGTTGTTCTTCCATTTCAACCCTTTTTGCCTCCATTTGAACCCTTCGTTGTTCCATTTCCAATCTCTTTTTCCTCTCAAATGAATCTAATTCGTGTTTTTGTTCTAAAAGTAATTTTCTTTGTTGTATGTTTAATTCTCTTTTCTTTAGCTCGTTCTGACTGTCTATTTCCATTTTTTATCTTATAATTTCTCTAATTTTTTTTTGGCTAAATACTCATGGTATTTTGTCTTACAGTGACAGGTCTTTTTCGTGTAGGTGCTAAAAAAATCTTTTTTTTAAACACGATATACCTATTTTTTTTAATAGAAGGATGTCTCTGAAATACATGTGTTACAGTTCTTGATCATATACCCTTACGAGTATAAGATACTTTAAATTTGACAAGACAACTATTTTACTGCTCTGCTTAAATATAGTCATAAAAAATGCACAAATATCACTATTTTATTTTTATTCTTATCCACGTCCACACAGCCACAAAACTCTTCTAAATAAAATATATACAAACAAACCAAATGCAAAATGATATAAAACCTTAAATCTTACATACAATATTTGACTGGACAAAAGACCTTTTTTTGGCTTCTTTTTTTACTTTGCGGCGATTTTATTGGTTAATTTTCTTTTTCTTCCTCCCAAGCTTCCTCTACTGTATTTGACACTTCAGTTTCATTGACCATGTTATCAGAAACGACATCTAAGATTTCAAAATCATTCTGATTTATTGATAATACTTCTTGCTCTTGGTTTAGCTGGTTTTTAGTAGACGTACCCTGTGTTGCAGCAGTATCTATAAAAAAAAACAAAATTTAAGGTTGTACACTACATTGTACCGATTTTTTAGCTGTGACTAAACAGTAAGAGGTGTGAAAGGTAAGTAGTACCTTCTCAAATATTATCTATTTTTTGTGTTTATTTTTTTTTTGTAATAAAATGTCTTCATAAATAAATAAAAGTAATTTAGAAGGTAAAGAACTACATGGAATATACAGGGGGTGTTTTAAGTGATACCACTACTGTTATCTCCGAAACAGTAAGAGGTACGAGGTCGATAAAATTAGAGAAAAGCTAAATCATAATATATTTAAAGAACTGTAGTTTTGCTATTTATAATGTTTATAGGTTTAATTTTATTTAGGTACTCAACCCTTAACCAGAAGTATGCGTCTCTCAGACACGCACCATTTTTAATTTTGCCGCCATACGTAAATCAATCAGCACGCCCCCTCCAGCTTCTAAGTATCTTCCTAACAAACTTTAACTTTGTTCGGCTTACCGATTTTTGAAGACGTTTCGGAACTGCGCGAAACTAGTTGCGCACTAAATTATGGTTCTAGTACTGTCCTAAAATCACCTAGAATTCACTAAACTCGAAAGCCTCGTTTAAACGGAGACCGAGTTATTTAACCCCCCACTACTAAAATGACATGTCGTCTGACTGACATTTGACTATTTGTGACTATTAATTTTTAATTCGTAATTAAAAGAATAGTTGATTTCAACGAAAAACATCTTGAAATTGCAAGGTCATTGGAGGATCTTAGCGCCATCTATAAGTTTACATAACAACTAATAAAAGAAAACTGTAAACTATTATTTTGGCA